CAATGTTGTGAAGGAGGAAGTCATGTGTCAAGGCAAATGGAGACTAGGGAAGGCTAACTGGGATTTCTTTAGGCGTCATTTCACTCGTTCCAAGCTAGATCTGGCAAGGGACGAGGACGTCTCTAGTTTTTCTGGGAAGTTGACTCAGGTTATTACTGACGCTGCTATGGGCTCTATTCCCCGGACTAAGGATGGCATTGCACGTAGGTCACCCAAGTCCTGGTGGTCCGATGAACTCCAGGCTGCGGTGGATGCTCGCAAGCGGGCTCTACGACGGTTTCAGAGGAAATCGGACCGTTATACCAAGGCAGAATACTTAGCGGTCAAGGCTTCTACAGCTGCTCTGTTGCGTGAATCACAAACAAAGCACTGGCAGGAGTTCTGCAACTCATTAAATGAGAAGACCAACCTAAGATCTGTTTGGGGTAAAATAGACTCAATGCTTGGTAAAAAATCTAATTCTTCCATTCCAACTCTTTGTTACAGGGATTCCACAGAATACAGCAATGAAGGAAAAGCCAATTTGTTAGCCAAGTGTTATGCTGACGGCAGTGCTGATACCAACCATACCAAAGAATTTCTAAAGAACAAGAAGACCTTCTACACCAACCACACTCCAATTCATCATTCGCCCTTAGAGGATGAACGGGATCTTAACGCTCCCTTCACCCTCGACGAGTTGAAGAAAGCACTGTACAGTAAGAAAGACAGCGCTACTGGTGAAGATAATATCAAGTACAGCATGTTAAAGGAGTTACCAATGGAAGCGTCTACAGTTCTACTAGAATTATTCAACAAATCATGGTATAATGGTACAATTCCGGAAAGTTGGAAAACGGCAATGGTCATTCCTCTACCAAAACCGCAGAAAGATAAAAGTCTATGCAGTTCATACAGGCCTATTTCTCTGACCTCGACTCTATGTAAAACATTTGAGACGATGGTCAATAATAGACATAGATACCACTGTGAACTAAATGGTCTTATCGATCCCAACCAAAGCGGCTACAGAGAGAAACGGTCAACAATGGATCAAATCGTTCGACTTCAACACGACATGGCCGCCCAACTCGGAGAGAAGAACTACTTCAGTGCAGTATTCCTGGATCTGTCCAAGGCCTTTGACTTAGTCTGGGTTGATGGTTTGCTTTTTAAACTTAATAAACTTGGCATTCGGGGTCGCATGTTCAGGTGGATCCAAGACTTCTTAAGGGATCGCCAGATACAAGTGAACGTCGCCAATTCTCTCAGCGAGAAGCACTCGTTGGAGAATGGCACCCCGCAAGGCTCTGTTATTAGCCCAACCCTCTTCAGTATTATGATCAATGATCTGTCCCTGGATTATGTAAAGCATATAGAGCTCTCGTTAGCACGGCTCTATATGCAGATGACAATTCGATATCGACTGGTCACAATGACCTCAATAAAGTTAAATGGCGTATGCAAACTGCTCTGAACCAAGTTGCTAAATGGGCAAACGACTGGGGCTTCATTATTTCGGAAGCTAAAACCGTCGGTTTGTTCTGCAGCAGAAAGAAAGATCACGACAGTATTGACCTTAGACTGAATGGTGTGAAGATTAAGCATGAGAATTCAGTAAGGTTCCTGGGAGTACACTTTGACAGGTGTCATACTTGGAGTACGCACATTGACTACATCTGTAACCGGTCTACAAAAATCTTAAATGTTATGCGTTATGTTTCAGGTACCACATGGGGAGCAAACAGAGAAACTCTAATGATGATGTACAGGTCACTGGTTCGTTCAGTTATTGATTATGGTTGTATTGCCTATGGTAAAGCAAGTGATACTCAACTGAAGAAACTCGACGTTCTACACATGAAAGCTATACCTATTGCCACCAGGGCAGCTGTAGGTACGAAGAATGAGGCGCTACTTCAGGAGGTGGGAGAGAAACCCCTCTCTCTTCGGAGGGAGGAGCTATCTCTCAAATTCTGGGGGAAACTTCAGTATTTGTCCGAAAGCTGTCCGACGTATTCCAGCATCAGAAGATTTACTCGTGTCGGAAATAACCAGAAGAATCGGAGTATTTCTTACGGGCAAGCGGTCATTGATCTATTGAGAGAGCATCAGCTCGATCAAGTAACGATCCTTGAACGCCGCCTATCGGCTACTTTTGGAAGGTTACCAACCCGACAGTCAACACCCAGCTGATCCAGAGTACCAACAAGCACGAGAACCCAGTGGGAGCAAGAGCTCACGCTCTTGATCTCATTGATTCCGTGTACGCCGACCATTTGAAGATCTACACCGATGGTTCCAAGAGTAGTACCGCAACAGGATACGGTTTGTGCATCCCAGCAAAAGGCATCCGCATCAGTAAAAGGATCCCCCCGCACTGTTCAGTGTTCACAGCAGAACTTTTTGCCATCAGGGACGCGGTAGCATGGCTGTCCGTCAATCACACGGAGCATGCCGCGATTCTATCCGACTCGCTAAGCAGCCTCCAATCTATTTTTCTCACCTCTTCTAATTGCAGGTCAGAAGTTATTTCCGAAATAAGAAGAATGATCCACAAATACCAAACCAACAACAACCAGAAGATTGAATTAGTATGGGTTCCATCGCACGTCTCCATTCCTGGCAATGATCAAGCAGACCGTTGTGCCAAAGAAAGTCTGAGTCTGGAGGATATCGAGCCTGTAGAATACTCCTATTCGGAGTTCTGCAGTATCGTATCTTCTAGGATCAACCTGAAATGGTCTGACATGTTACGGAATCTCGACACCGCAAGATACCAGATTGATCCGAAGATACCAAACCAAACCAAACCAAACCATCCATGTGTAGCCATCTGCAAAGTGGCAACCAGACTCCGGACCAACAACGTACTACGAGACCATCAGTTCAACGCCATTAAATGTCGCTGCGGCCACGTTGCCACAAGGTCGCATATCCTCATTCAATGCACTGAACTGAAACCCGCTCGTAAGCCACTACTAGAGTACCTGGAAACCAACGGCATACCACTAACCATACAGAATGTTTTGGCTCCACCCACGGACCACTGGTATACGATAATGGAACTAGTCTTCCATTTTATAACCAAATCTGTCTTGAACAGATAGGCTAAGTTTTTTTTTAATCAAAGTTTCTTAACACTTTTTAATTATATCCAATCACTTTAACAAGTTTCATCGCAGAAACATTAGAGAACATCTCTCCCCCCTTTTGTGAAAGCTTCCCCCCCTCTTTCCTCCCTCTTTTTTTCTTTTTTTTTCTTTTTTTTCAGGTCTTCGAGTTTTCCAACAGATAACAGATAATCTAACCAAACCAAACCAAACCAACGACTACCATTCGACTACCAATCAACAAGAAATACCATGATCAGAACGAGTTTGGAAGAATAGAGGAGACCGAGTAACTCACGCCACACCATCCAGGGCCGAGTTTCACCGCCATGTCATTCGACCCGACCAGATCTAACGAAGAATCAACAACCAAACCAACAACACCGAATCATCCAATTTGATCCAATCCAACTACCAACTACTACGACTACCAACAACTACCTAGTTTGCGATATCAGCATCCGCTGGAAGCGAGCGTTAACTTGTCATCTACCAACCACCAACAGTTCTTCCAGAAAGTTTCACTGTACCAATATTACCATCAGAATTGATTAGACACTCTCTGAAAGCATAAGCAATCCCTAAACTTAGTATTTTTGGCACTAGCTTTTCTAATACACGAAAAGTATTTGTTCCTACTATAAGAGGAGTTCTTAAAGTATAATTTTATCAGGACACACACGTTTCTACTTCCTGATTACACTGAATAATGTCAGGAGGTAAGGACATTGTTATTCTAACGAAAACACCAAATGAAACCTTTTGTCCTCCAGCTCCTTCCACTCTTTACAGTTTATCAGAAATAGTCTCAATTGGAATATGAGTGTTCGTCATAAAATGATCGGCACATTGTTGTAACTTGTGACCCACTATCTAAAAGAACGGGGCAGTCAACACCATTTACTTTGGCACATGTTTCACAGGCAGGTCCAACTAGTACATCTATTGGAACTTCATCTGCAGCACATTCGAAATATGCTAACGTATCCTTAGAACTCAAAGATTTAGTTAACTTTGAATTATTTTGAACTTGTAGGCTAAAGCGTTTCAATCCCAGAACAAATTTTGCACAATTCCAGGAAACAGTGACCCTTTATTCGGATGAACTGAAACACCATGTGAGATAACAGTTTCACCGATTCACTATAGCAGACACGACCATGTTATTCTATTTTAGAACCAGCTGGGATTTTGATAGCATGATTGTTATACAGTCTTATTGGATGAAAACTTTAAGAAGGTTGGGAACTTCCATGTGTCAGGGCCTCACTGTGTCCTTTTAATGAGACCCTCTGTCGTTTAACATTCAGAAAACTAGATCAGGGTTTGCAGGATTTGTACAATTTGGTTTAATGTGTCCATCACTTTTCCCGACGTCTACGATGAGGTGGTGTTCTAGGTCGCTTAGATGATTCTTGATGATGATCTTTTTTTCTGTTAAGGAGTTTAACTAAGTTTGCATTTTTTTAAGTTGAGCTGACAAAGTCTTAATGTTAGTTTTGGGTTCAGCAGTGTGGGAGTGTGACTGTGAACGAGATTGTTGTGGTTTGGAATGAGTTTTAAAAGTTTCTTATACTTTCCTAACTTCCTTCAACACCTCATGAACAGTAGGTGTTCTATCACTGTATTTAACCATAAGAAGCTGCTTTGTTGAAACATCGTTGCAAGTTGCGACAAAATGAGCCAACAAAGTTTCATCCACTTGTCCTGATTGGAGACCTCCGCGCAACTTCACCTTACTAAGCTTTACACTCAAGATCTGTAGATATTCAGTTAAAGATTGAGAATTGGATCGTTTGAAAAATTCTTGAAGCAGTTTGATACCATTCTGTGTGATACCATATAATTCTTCTAGTTCTCGGCAGATGTTGGCAGAGGAGATTTCTCCCAACGCACGGATCAAATCCAGCGCAGGCGAATCAAGGCTGGCCAGAATTCTCTGGCGTCTCCCAGACTCAGTGAGGGCAGAACCTTCTAGAACAATACCGGCTTGGCGTTTTCAAACGGCAAATTCAATGCCACTTTTACCCGAAAAAAGTTTTTAGTCTGTGATTAAATGACGAATCACTCCTAACCAAATGTTAAACCTGAACATTTATGTTGGATGCAGTCTCTTGATGGTTGCAGAGAGATGTTCAGTAACTTCGGGAGAGAATCCGAGTTTTCCATATTGCGTAGAACCTGTGAGAATCGATCTGTGGATGTAGGTAGTTGTCGTTTATCTGCAGGTTTGGAGACGGGAGTTGTATTTTCAGATGCCATCTTCTTTAAAATTCTTCACTCAGCCTGTATCCCGGACAAGCCCCCGTGTAACCTTTCTCCTGATGAATAGATCAGAGCTTGTCTCCAGGTGTATGAAGGAGATGGTTAACAAAAATAAGTGGGATCTAATCTGGCTGAGGCTAAGATTTTAACTTGGTGGGTCAACTTGCAGAATGGCCTATAAAATAAAGTAATTAAATGTTATAAACATTTATTATATTGAAAATTAAAAGTACACTAAATCTGAGCCTTCACTATAACTGGGAGTACAATCCCAGAATGGTTATTGACATGGAGATCAAACTAGCATATGACAATAAACAAAGTATCATAATGACACTAAGATTTTTTAGATATTTGATGAAATACAACAAGTCATCCTATAAATATCTGACAATGTTATAAACAAAACAGTACCATAGATTTTCTATCAAGGTTAATGCACTATTAATGTGGGCTCAATATTTATAATAGGATATAAACAACATTAATGCAAAATTGTACATCCTTGGAGTAAAATACTTGTTGCGCATTGATACAGGAAAGTAGGTCATGACTGACAGCTCTGACCTAGTTTACTACAGTCTGAACAATTGCAACATAAAAGTCTAAATATGCTTTTCTATAACAAACATGGGACAATAAGACAAATCTTACACTTACACTTACAAGCTATCTGCTAATGAATAGACAATGACATAATATATGAGAAAAAAAAGCACATGTTGATGCAGTGAGCGTGAGTGATTCCCCTAAAAACATGTGGTCTATGAAGGAAATGTGGTAGCCGAATGAAAAATAGCGATGCCATCGTAATACACCCACATTTGTAATGGCAGCTAATTTGTCCGGGAGGTTGACAAGAGTTATCAGTTAATGAATGTTTCTGAGAGTGAAATTTTCATATTTCATGGGTTTTGTTTACAGCTTACAATTCAAGAACAAGGGCAATAACTCATAGTAAATATTTTTCGATTCGTCTGATTTTCATCCTAGGATGATTACAAACACTCACACCACCTTTTGTCAAAACCCATCAAGAAACCAGCTCTCTATCGTGTCCACAAACAATTCAAGTACAAGGGCAATAACTAATAGTAAATATTTTTCGATTCGTCTGATTTTCAATAGGGTTCATCCTTGGGTGATTACAAACACTAACATCAAGTTTCGTCAAAATCCATCAAGAAACCAGCCCTCTATTTTGTCCACAGACAATTCAAGAACAAGGGCAATAACTCATAGTAAATATTTTTCGATTCGTCTGATTTTCAAAAGGGTTCATCCTTGTATGATTACAAACACTCACACCACCTTTTGTCAAAACCCATCAAGAAACCAGCTCTCTATCGTGTCCACAAACAATTCAAGAACAAGGGCAATAACTCATAGTAAATATTTTTCGATTCGTCTGATTCGTTAATGTGTGGGCGTATAAAAAGTCAAATGCACATATTTCATGTCATGTCATGTCGCAAAACGAACTAATGGTCTTCTTGCCATCTTTAAAATAGGCACTATTTGGCATCAGAGAGCGTCTAAGTCCAGAAATGTTCCGCCTGCGGCGCACTATTCAAACATTTTATGGTCAAATGACAAGAAGACCATTAGCATCGTCATCAAGGGGCACACGTAGCGAATTTTATCGTCCGCATGCTTTCGCTGGAAATTTAAATTTAAGTCATATCTCACCTTTAGGCCGTTTATTATTTCAGTCTGTGAAATATCGTTTATCTCATACGACACTTGATCGATATGAGGACCAGTGTTTATAAATTACAATTCTGCGGAAATAAGAATTCCATATTCCAATGGTAAATTCGAAAATGCAGTCGCCGACAAAATCTCAACTCATAAGTAAAATTTAAAAAAAAATAACATGGCGAGCTTACTTTTATTCACGTTGAAACTCACCACAGTAAACATTTGCTGTCAAAAGACATACGATAGATGTTCTAGACATTCTAACTTTTTATTGCAGCTTGCGTGATAAAAACGTGCTTTTCAATTCGCGAATATCAAGTCTCAAATGTCTTGTCGGAGTGTCTGACTCTGTCGGAGGAACCATGACACCGACATATTTCAGGTAATGACATGCAATATAAGCAGAGATAAGATTTGGTCTTATAATGATAAAACAATATCTTACCTATAAAATAAAGTAATAAACTGTTATAAACATTTATTATATTGAAAATTAAAAGTACACTAAATATAAGCCTTCACTATAACAGGGAGTACAATCCCAGAATGGTGATGGTGTAAAACTGAGACACAGACTTTAATAAATGTAATAATAAGACATGGAGTTATAGTATGATAATATACTGATGAATTGCATATTTTTACTTAACTTGTAGACATCTCAATTTGCGTATATACCTATGATTATATGCAGATGGCTACACTGTTCACAGGTCTAGTATATTTCATATTCATTCTCGTGAATAATACATTATAAATATAGTATCTATCTAGAGGTTCTTACCTTTACATATACTTCTCTATATGTCCTAATTAATGCAGGCTTCAAACTTTCCCGATATTGAATATATTTTCAAGATGGTCTTTCTCGCATAACAAGGAAGATAGCTTGCCAGGCAAGATAACATACGCCAACTGGCAGCCTAAGAATGATAAAGGTGTCTTCAGTAACTATATTACAAATTTACTCATATATAATAAGTCAAAATGTATTTGTGAATCAAAAGATAGTTTGTCAGACGAGGTTACATATGACCACTGGTAGCATTGTTTTGATGGACATAAATGAACACCCACCACCCACATTTTAATGTTGTTTTTTGTTGCATGATTATGATACACATATCTTTTTGTAATTACGTTTAGCAATATATTAGCAAAAAATAATAAAAATTACACTTATCTTGATTTAACACTTGATACATCAAACTCTATTTGTGTAGGTGACAGCTAAGTTATCTCAACACACTTATAATCTAGGTGACAGCCAAGCTATTTTAACACACATAT